GATAATAAATAATACATTTTCATCCTATTCATACAAAAATGAAAGAAACCTTCTGTATAACAAGGTTAACTTCTACAAGTAGCTCAGAATGAAGATGATTTAAAGTAAATCTTATTTCTCAGGAGTGATTGTCCCACCGTGACCGTTTTGGCATCCATTTCTGTGAATATAAACTCCCCTCCATCAAAGTCTCCATTTAGATATAACAGGGCACTGAAAAAGTAAGTGAAAACAGATCATCAGCAAAGGCGATTCCAAGGATAGCAGTGTAGACCAAATTAGTTTTCCGTCAGCATCGTCACACCTGTAGTCTCTGTAGGTGTAAGCTGGTGGCTCCTTCCAACACTCGTAGGCGTCGGGGTCCAGCAGACAGTTGTCAGCATGGATGGGATGGCTCAGGTCATTCCTGTGATCCTGCTGGCCTAAGATAAAAACCAAAACAAAAAAGGTTTTATTAAATATACAAATGCAACTATTGAAATTACTGTATGTCCAAAAAGTCATCAGATCATAACAAAGTTTAGTTAGATAAACAGAGAAACATCAGCTGAAACATTTCTTATTCTTATTTCTGAACTGTACTTTGGCACATAAAATAAGATTTATTTGCTACAAAACCCCCCAACAACAACAACTAGTGATTATTTTCCTACTATTATTCATAAATACACAATACATATTGTATTTCACCATTAGATCAATCTAAATGTTACACACACACAAACTGAAAATATAACTTAAAATGTAGAAAAATAAGTTGCAGTATTTTCTCGTTGGTGTCCAGTGCTGCGAGTTCTGACCTGAGATGGCCGTCCGACACACCAGGTGTGTGTAGGAGAAGTGGAGAGTCGAGTTCAACATGAAATAAGACTCGACGATTCGTCTCACTCGCTCGCTGGTGTCGTAGAAGAGGCGAGCGCTCTGCATCGGCACTCTGCCCTCGTAGCCGTACTGCAGAAGGAGAAACATTTGTCAAACAATTCAACCCTTTCTGTGCGTTCATTGAGCGGCTTCGGATGTTATCAACCCATTAAATGGCTGTTATTAGTTATCATCCCCATATGTAGCGGTGAGACTGTCCCACCTACCTCCTAGTAGGTTTTAAGGTACGTTATTGTTGTTATTATTGCTGATAATAGGCAGCGTCGCACGGGGGTAAACCAGGAAGTGTCTTTTTTTGTTGTTTTCAGCTTATGTAACCCTTTTCCTAAATGTAAGCTTACACCTGACCCAGAGGACCAACCCTAAACTTAACCCCCTTACCCTTGTGCCTAAACCCAACCAAGACTCTAAACCTAACCACGTGAAGCTATTATGAGCAGTAACAAAGCTATAAACAGAGCCTATTATCATCGCTAACAACGTACCTTAACCCACTAGGAGGCACAGGAGGGGCAGTCTGACCACTACATATGGAGATGATAACAACTAATAACGACCATTTAATGGCTGATAACATCCCAAGTGGGTGGTTCATTAGACTGGTTGGATAGTCAGCATACCTGCAGAGTTTTGAGTACCGTGGCTCCTTCAAACTTCTCATTGGGAGTGTGTGGGGACGTCCTGCCTCTGTAACCATCTCCTGCCATAGAGACAGTCTGAAAGACAAAGAAAGAGCCACAAATGAGCATCAAACTTATACGGTCACATTAAACCAGCTAAATGTTCTCCAATCAGTCTGTATTTTTTCTGAACCGTGCGATGCACTGACATGTGCCAGGTTTTTGAGCTCGGAGCACTCCTCCTCAGATATAACCTGATCCAGGAGAACCCTCTGGCTCCCGTTCAGGGCCACGGAGTTCTGCACCAGCTGCACACTGTCGTATATCAGAGGGCCACCTACACCACAATTAAAAGTTTAAAATGTTATTCTGGTCAGCATTCAACTCTATTCTAGTATTTCATTAGCAGCAAAGAGGGTTACCCTCTCTGAGCTGCTGCAGAACAACGGCAGAGGCGTTTTTCTTCTCAGAGATGGGAACATACTCCATCCAACCGTCAGTGCCTGAAGGAATCCTGAGTAAGAGCAGTCACAATTCAAGATTTGAAACATCAGTCAAGTTACGACTGCAGGAAATATGGTGCTAGTTTGAAAAGAAGTTTGTAACATTTCTTTTAGTTTTGTTCTACAGCAGTGTTCATGTTAGCTCTTCTCCCTACAGGTGAGCTTTAGGCCAACAGCATATCATCTCAAATCGTCTTACCTGTTTGAATCATCCCTTCCACCTGTGTTACTCCAGTAGCTCTGCAAAGAGACAAAATTAAATCTACCAGCAGCACATGTCATGCTTTTAGAAGCTCTGCTAAACTAATCCAGAGGAAATGAAAAGGTTGCACATTTGTACCAAACTGTTTGGGAGAAAAACACAGAGAAACCTGAAATACGAGAACCTGGGTGAAACCAGCAGGTGGAGGTGTTGGCCAACACAGAGCTACACGGTGCTGGTGCCAGACACTTGTTCCCATCATGCTGCTTCTAGTCAGCTGGAGAGCTGATGCACATTAGAAACTTTGGGATCCATTACCAAAAACTATCCGGTATCTAAAAAAACTCTTACATCATCTCTCAGCAAAACGAAGTATTATAGCACATGTGTTTGCTGTTTCATACTCACAGTGTAACGTCTGAAAACTGAACAAAGTTTCAGATGATATCACACTCTGTTAACTCACCCCTTCAGTGAAGTCAACCCCCATTATGTTGCTGCCCATCAGAAGGAGCTCCAGCTCCTGTTTGTGTCTCCTCAGATACCTCGCAGCTTCCTGCATCAACACACACACACAAACGTGCACATTACTTTTCATTGTACGGTAAATATTTCTCTAAAACTTCTCTATGCCCTTATAAAACTTTTGCAAGATTGTGTTAAATTATTGATGGATTTGTTTTTATTTACAAAACAATGTTCGAAACCACTGTGTTACCCTCGGCCCAAGAATCTGAGAGACGTTAATAAAATCCTTAATTATTGTTAATTTAAAATCTGTTCACGGTCAATTTAATTCAGAAGTCTCCTGATGCATGCTCAGTAATCCAGGTAGAAAAATCTAACGAGGTAAAGCCAGGTTCTCTGTCCAGAACACCTAACTTTACTTTGGCAGAGTAATTCAGAAGTGTTTTTGAGAGATTGCATTCACGCACACACACACATACACACAGGCATACATCTACTTTTAAACTACAAATGTGTTTTTCAACATTGTATTTGAAGAAATAAAAAGTGAAGCACTGCAATAACTGCAGACTTTTAGTAAAAGCAGAATTTACCGTCTTTGCTTGATTAAATCCAGGTGGTGTTTATTTATTTATTTACTTTTTGGCACGAGGCTGTGTCATTCATTGAAATCTATTTTTACCATTACCGTAGCTCTTCTATGAACCTTTTCTCCTGCATGCTATCGTTTGATTAATTTCAGCCAGACTTGCTTCAGTTCCCTATCCGTGACTTTTTGTTGCCTGTCATCTGATTTTCTCATCCATAGTCTCATCCTTCACTGTTAAAAGAAATTAAATACTACCCCCCTGCAGCCTTTAAACAGCCTCCTCACACCCTGAATGCTGCTGTTGTTTGGAACATTGTTTCGGACTATTAGTGCTTAGTATATTCTTACTTTAGCGTATTTCTTAGTTCATATCGTAGAACTTATTACTGTTTTTCTTTACAATTTGTACTTTTGTTGGATGCAACTGGTTACATAGTTTTGTTCCACCACATGTACCACATGTGGTGTGAATGACATAAAGACACCTTGACCTTGAATGTCACTGACCTCTCTGTGTTTGCCATCATGTCCCAGCAACTCCCTATAGTGCTCCACGTTGTCTGTCATGAACTCCTCTCCCTCGTGAAACAAAAGGTAGGTCAGCCCAGATTCAAGTGCCTCCTCCAGCCTGTCGACTGCACACACACAACCAGAGGCAAAAAGTGTTTCAGGGAGTTTTTCTTTATTGTTTACATATAAAACTGTTGATAGAAATACACACAGTTTGGTTAAAATAAAATGAGGATGATCATCATGGCTGACATTCAAGCACAGGAGTGTAAGCTGCCTTCTGGATGGCATAATGGAAAGCGTGCACATAAACCTGCAGGACGTCAGCAGTAAAGTGAGCCAAAAGTGCTGCAGGGTCATCCTCTCTGCAAATAGAGCCTTACACATTTTCCTTTAAACATAAATCCACAAACACCCCCACTCCTGCCACACAAACACACACTCCACTAAACTGTAAGGATCCTGGGTTAAACAAAGACTTCCTGTCTTGACTGAAGCAGCAAATCTGTTGCTGTCAGCTGCGTGATTTCAGGTCAGCTCAAGTCCAGAGATGTAATGGAGTTACACCACCAAGGATTTGTTCAGACAGCTAAAGCAGATAAAGCACAGAGAACTGAGTGCTGAGTGATGCTAAACTGCTGCAGTGTGCTGTGGAGAGCGTAAAACACAAACTGAAGCGCCAGCAGCTTGTCTCAGACATCAGGTGATGCAGTACACACATTTACGTTACACAACACAACAAAGGAAGGCAGAGTTTTGTCTAAAAAATAAATTCGACTGATAGGAGTAGGTCAAAAGTGTAAAAAAAACAAAAAACAAACTGGGTTTAGTTTACTGAAAGTTAAAGTTAGTTGGGCTGACACACCCAATATCAGTTTTTGGGAAGCCTGCTCTCAGCATATTTGTACACAACCACTGTCTTTATTAGAGCCACATGCTTTTGGCTCATTAAATTGAACTTGATGATTTCACCTCAACTCAGCTCACGGTTTTATTTTCAAATCTTGCTTCATCATCGTGCCTCTTTCCTAGAAGAGCTTTCACATTTGTCTGCACTAAACAAAGACGCTTCCTGTTTACTCACACATAAACACATACATTTAACTTGAGAGCCTCGCGGTCAGACTGGATACAGCCGTGTAAACGCTCAAATAGACACACACCAGATAATGTCACTATTGTGCAACAGGGTGTGGTCCTCCGCTGATTGATTCAACCTGTCTGACTCTTTGCGGTGCATGTGCTTGTATGTGCCTGTATGCTTTTGGGTGTATCCATCCTGGTTATTTTCATTTTTAAACACTAAACCGAGTCAGATGTTGTGTTTGGGAAACATCGATCTGTTTAAATGTAACTGTTTGATTTCAACCCACCTTTAAAATATGCGAACTGCAGGTAGTCGTAGTGCAGAGGCAGGTAGTTTTCCATGGGAGAAAGGCGGCCTGGCCGAGTGGCGAGGTCTCTCACGCACTCGTGTTCACAGTGAAGCACCTGAGTGAAGTGATCTGCAACAGAAAGCTTTCAGGTCAGACTTCAATGATGACATGTTGTATGTTGAATGTAAGACTTGTTTCAATCAGCAGTTTCTTGTTGACTTTACTGGGATGAGGGGATTGTTTCAGTTTTACTCATTTAAACTTAGCTAAACTTGGGTCAATAGCAGCTGCGGTGTTTGTGTTTTGCTGAAAAGGCTTAGATCAGAGCTATTCAACTAAATTACTCATGGGGCCACGGTTATTGCTCAGGAACCAAACGTTCAGCAGTTATTCTCATTAATTAAGTTTGTTTTACAATTTATAATAGAGTTTTATTTAAAAATGAACCTATTGGTGGGCCGAACTGAGCACATCTGTGGGCCTGATTTGGCCCCTGGTCCACCAATTGAATAGCCCTGGCTTAGAGTTATTTAGATCTGATTGGAGAAAAAAAACCTATATTAAACTTAACTTCTTGTAAAATACTAAACTGCATCTTCTTTAAGCAATCAGTGGAAAAAGCTGACTTTTCAGATCGGATAAAATGATGCAGCATTAAAAGCAACTATGTATCTAAAGAGAAAAAAGTCTGTTAATCTTAATTTAACACATACATTTCTGGAAACTATGTCTGAAAGGGAGGATATTTTCATACTTGGCATTTTTCCTACAACTGCATAGTTTTCAGTGTATCAAATCGGAGACAAAAAAGGTTCAAGAGGTTAAGAGAAGACATCACTGTTTTGCAAAAGAAAGTTAATTATACTATTTACTTTTTTTATTTCTGTATTAAAAGGACATACCGTAGTTACAAGTGTAGCTAACAAGTACAACTAAAGGCACTGAAGTTCCAGATGATCCAGTAAAATGTGGATTTTACTCTGAAGTGTTACACCTGCTAGATATTAAGACACAATTCACCACGGCCACAATAAAAATCACTTCCAGTGAGCGCAAATCTGAACCAGCAACAGATGTCTGGGCATGGTGCGTTGTGAAGCAGCAACACTGAGGTAGAACTTTTCTGGACAAATGAATCAACTTTATGTCTGGAGTAGAAGAAAAGAAGTATATGCTCATAAAATGTTTTTACAGCCAGTAAAGCAAAGAGACAGATCAGTGATGCTGTGGAGCTGACTCAGGAAATCTACAGCAGGCATTGTGCTTTTAATCTGGTACCAGGACAAATTTAGGAATAATGACATAATGTCTGAGATAAGCTGAAGCTCAGGCTTTTTTTTTTGACTTTTCAAAGTTTCCAAACCTGACTCAAAAGTCCCAGAACATTCTGGAGTAGCGATCACAACTGCCTGACGAATTCAACAACAATTCAAGCTCAAAGAATCAGATTTACATGAATTTTCCACAAAATTGGGAGCAATAATATTTTAGCTGCTGGCTCTCAGACTGGACTTTATAACAGCAGCCCATTTTATCCTGAATAAGATGGTGGCATGTTTGCAGAAGTAAAAACAACTACGGTAGTTCAGCATCACATTGATCCAGGATTTTGTGTTCCTTCAGGGGACCTGCTGTTTTGATCATCCTTTGGAGGCTCAACCTTTGACAGGATGCTTATCATTTCCTTATGCTGAGTACTGAGAGGAGAGCCAGCAGAGAGGATGATAGAAAAGCTTGTGTGTGTGAGTGTGTGTGTGAGCATGTATGTGCAATGAGGTCACCCCTCAGCAGCTGCAGCACGAGTTTCTTTCCTCTCAGAGAAGTTTAAATCTGTTTAAGTCTCTCAGAAAAACAGAAATCACAACTGATTCTAGCAGTTTGACGGATTTCAGATTAAAAACTAAAATTTATACTCATACAGACGGAAGCAATTCTGTGAAATCCTTTTGTTTTTCAATCTAACTCACATGGCAGATTGTATCACTTTCACAAATACATGCATCTTTTTACAAATAAACCTTATAATCACAGGCTCCCCCGTGCTATGGAAAATAATCCCTTGATTCTAAGTAAAACAAAGCTTGGCCGAAACTAATTAGCTGCCTTCTGTGTTTATTCAACCCAACCGTGCATACGTGAGACAAAGAACACTTGTCAGCAATTAGACTGCAGCTACTGCACAAAGTCTTCACAGAAAAAAGGCCTGACTTGTGTCAACAAACACACCCTGACCAAAGAACCAGCCTATCTATAGTGATCTGGTGTGAGAGTTTACTGTGGAAATACGCCTTCCCTCCACATCAAACATGTCTGCTTCAATGAAGACCCCTCTGACTTCTTTTGGCATGACACTGGTGTAATGAAACTGGGTTTAAACAAAACTAATACAGGGTATAAAGTGTAAAATCAATGCTTGTAAGCTGATTTAAAATGTGTGTAATGTTTGACACTGGTTCCTCCCCTGCAGTGGGTGTTGCTTTGAGCTGCAGTTCTCTTAATCTCTGTTGCTATAATGTTTTGTGTCATAATAATAAAAGCATAGCGCAGCAGTGGATAGAAAACAGAGAGCGGTAAAACACATCACAAGGAGTCAAATTTTCCGGATGTTTAATCATACAACAATTCACATGTGAGGTTTTATCACGGGTTTACTTTTAATTTGCGCAAAAATAAAACCTCACATTGTTTAATACCCAACATAAACAGTAAGCATCTGCAGCTCATTAAAAAAGAATAAACTCGATTTTTGCAAATAACTACAACGGACTGCAGCAACAAATCTAATTAGGTCCATAATTGTACTGGAATTTTAATGCAGCTGTAAAGGAAGACTTCATTCTTGTCCTCTGAGTTTTTCCCTCATACCTGACAAGAGTTCATGTAGGCTGTAACGGTAGCGGAGGTGATCATGGCCCTCAAATTTCTGTGGACCTTGGCACAAGGCCCGACACTCCACATCTGCTTTATAGTACTCCACCAAAGCTTCCTCGAACAGAGAAACAGCTCCTTCGTAGTCGCCTCTGTCGTATAACTTCACAGCCTCTGTAAAGGCACGCTGCAAAAGCATGTAAGAACTGTATAAATATTCAAGGAAATACACGAAGAGATCGAGTGACCCTAATAATAATAATAATAATAATAATAATAATAGTAATAATAATAATAATAATAGTTAATGAACTTTATTTTCAAGCACTCTTGTGAACAAGTGCATTTTAACAGCCTTGGAATAAACAGGATGATGAAAGATGAGCTTAGTCTCAGTTGCAACTAGAAAGAACAATCTTAGTCAAATCTTAAAAATACAACAACAAACATGTCTAATACATGATCTTAGCATGCATCTACAGAAAGAGAAAAAGCAGAAGCTACAGTTAATGCAGCCAAAACTCTGGTATTCAGAACTAAACCACAGCAAGCATTAAAAGGTCTAAATGAGCTTCCAGTCATTAGACTGCAAGGACCATTAACTCAAGAGCAACACTGACGGAACAAAAGCAGCTGCACTTTCTTCTTTTTGGAAAGAAAAGTAGAAAGTCAGCCAGATGTTGGAAAGAATGATAAGGTGTAGAAATCATCAAGGATCGAACATCTCACAGATGAAAGCTTTTTGCCATACCTGGTGGGGCCTGGCTTCTCGGTCCACAAAGTGGTTTTCCTTGACGCCTTGCAGGTCTTTGTATTGTTCAAGGTCCTGACCCATCTCTACATGTTCCGGATTGGCCTGGAAGTAAGTGTGAGCTGCTGCGGCTGCCTTTTCAGGCTGCTTCAACTGGAAAGGAGACAAAACAAAACAACAACACATAGCTAAAATGAATAAAAACAGCAGATGTGACCACCGCAACTCAACTCTGCTCATGGGTTTGCAAAACTAAATTCAGAGATGAATTCAGCTCCAACAAGAAACACAACAAAAACACATTGTTTATTTTAACACAACTTTAAAGTTATTAAATAAAAAACCAAAATTGTACATTTCAATAGAAATAGAAGGACAGATCAAAGTGTAAAACCTGTTTAAATACATACATACATACATACATACAGATACACACATACATACACACATACACACATACATACATACATACATACATACATACATACATACATACATACATACATACATACATACATACATACATACATACAGATACACACATACATACATACATACATACATACATACAGATACACACATACATACATACACACATACAAACATACATACACACATATACAGATGTCTGTTGGAGTCAGCCTCCCCACCATCACAGACATCTACACCTTCCGATGTAGGAAGAGGGCCACTTGCATCATGAAGGACCCCACTCACCCAGCACACACACTTTTTTCCCTGCTCCCCTCAGGAAGGAGGTTAAAGAACATTAAGTGCAGAACCACTAGACTGAGGAACAGCTTCTACCCTGAAGTTGTTAGACTCATGAATATGTAACCAGGATAATCACTGTGAAAAAACACATCATGTTGCTGCTGATCTGTTTCATGTTGCTGCTGATCTGTTTCATGTTGCTGTGTTCATGCATGCTCATCTGCTCACACAGACTCATGTTCGTGCTGCTATTTTACATAATGTTTTTATGCTACTAGTGCTTAGTGTATTATTTAGCTGATGTTTTTCTTAGTTCATATCTTAGATGTTATTGGTTTTTCTTTTACATTTTATTGTTGGATGTAACTGGGACCCTGTGTACATAATATCGCTTCACCACATGTGGTGCAAATGACAAATAAATCTCTCCGACTCTCTGATACACATACACACACATATACATACATATATACATACATACATACATACATAAATCTCATGGTATTTTGACAACAACAGAGACTTTATCTGTGTTTCCGTGAAGCTTCATCTGCAAGAAGAATCGGTCCATTTGACAAAAACAATGGTTCACTCAGGTCTGTTTTCAAGAAAATTTTTTGAAAATCCACCATCAGCAGTATATCTAAACATTGTGTCATCAGAACAATGAAACACTGAGCAGATTTAGGACGAACTGTTCCCATCCACATCCTGTTATGAAGAGAGCCGTCATCTTTAAGGCTAATGCTATAAATCAGTTCTTTGCACTCAAAGATTGGACGAGGAATATAATAACAACTTCACCACAAAAATCCTGCCTGCTTAATAAGAAATGTATCGAACATAAACATGACCACAAAAGCAATTTACTGTGATAGCGGATGGATTTGTAGAAAGAGACTCTTTTCAATTATTTTGACAGGTTTTTTTTTGTCCTAACTGTGACGTGGTGGGGACATATAAACGAGGGAAGTGAGAAGCCTGTTTTGGCTGCTGAAGGATATTGTGACATCACTCAAAAGTAACTTTAACCAAACAGCAGCAAATAATGTTGTAATGCTTCACAAGCAGAAAAGTAAAAATAACATTGTTAGCTGTGGCCTGGTGAGGAAAGAAATAAAACAGAAACAGAAGCTCACCTTCGGTAAAACTGATTGAGTTAGAGGCATGTTTTCTTTTGGCTGATGATGATTTTCATCCAACAATCACTTTGAGAGTTTCATTAAAATCTGACCAGTGGTTCATGAGATATTTTGCTAACAGACAAACATGGTTAACTTGACACCAACAGTTAATATGAACGTTCAAGCAAAGACTTTGTACAATCTGCAGTGTAGTGCTCAGTATGTGTAGAGTATGATGCTCAGCTACTGACACACCAAAGTGTAGCTCATTATCTGTAAAATTGACAGTTAGGCTTTTATGTTTGCTGAGGTTGCTTAGGTGTGGCAGCCATCTTGAATGAATGAATGAATGCCTTTTATTGTCTCTATACCCCTGTTCAATGAGATTCAAAGCCACTCCTCTCATAGTGCAAACATATACACGAGCAAAATGTAAAAATAAATGAGTAAAAGTATGCTAAAAACATTAGTATTACAGTATTGCACTAGTTGAATGAGGTTGACTCCAATTGTATATCTACTGATTATTTTCTGAGCGATGCATTTAAACGGCTTTCTTATGTTTCATGAGACATTTTATTAACAAAAAATATAACACATAAACTTTGGAAAGAACATTATAGCAATTTATATAAAAATAAATAAAAGATGCAACATATTCGGTCTATGTAGAGGGAGTGTTTCCACATCTGTGCTCGTGATTGTCGTGTTTGTATCAGTTATTATCAGGGCTGATATTTTAATTGGATTCTTTTCAACCATTTAAAGAAATGTACCTGACAAAGAAACCTCAGCTCATTTCTCCTGTTGATCTTAGGGGGCATTGATTCGTTGTGACATAAAAGAGGTCAAATTGAACCAAAAAACTGGAGAATAAAATTAAAATAATCTCTTATGTTTTGTGCTATGGCAGCTCTCTTCCCTTCCTTGTTGGTTGCTGTCATGCTGGGTGCCTCCTGGGCTCCAGCCAGGTGATCCAAACAGGAATGCACTCGATGCCATCTCTCCTTTTGGCCTTTCATGGCTAATCAGGCATGTCCTGCTGTGCACTCCGCTGCCTCATTTATGAACACATGAAGCAAGCTTTGTGTTGTCAGACAGTGAGATTTTTCTTCAGATTGAAGTGGGATGTTAGTGGGAAGATTTTCCTTTTTTTCCCATCAAAGTAGAATATCATGTTTGCAATCCCTTTAGAAAGCACAAATCAAAAGTGGTACTTGCTTATTCATCTTCATCACATACCTTTTGGGTGATATGCATTTACTATATATGCAATATGCATGCACATTACTATAAGGAAACGCAAGCTGATGTGTCAGATATGATATTATCACAGTTTTTCCTTACATCCATGAAATCACACAGTTTAAACAATTTTACTGGTAGATTTTCCTACATAAACTCTAGTTTCTCAAATATCTAAATGTGAACACTCACAAGTTTAATCAGCATATCTGTGGGTGGATTTTTACTCCTAGCTGATGGAACAGAGTCAAGCACAGCTCTGTTTTGTCTCCTGAGCAGCTGCGTTCTTCACGGCTCCACAAGATAAGTTTGTGAACATATTTTTTTGTGGATTTGTTTATCATCTGTCAAAACAGTTCTCTGGAGAACACCAAAAACTACGCAGCTGAGTCCAAATCACGAAAAGGAATTTAGTTTGCAGCCACTGATCCACTTTAACCTGCCTCATCTTATTTCTACTCTGGACGTGGCGGGTTTTAACCTCGTCGTGACAACCTACCTCACAGCATCTGGAATAAGACAGGAGCTGCTCCAGGACACCAAACATTTAGCCGTGGCATATCAGTGTCAGATCTATGGTTCTGTTTAGACAACCCATAACCAGGAGAGTCCTGAATTTTATAAAATCACAGTTTTTTCTAATAATAATAATAATAATAATAATAATAATAATAATAATACAACTGCATTTTTACAGTCATTCTCGGAAATTACATGCAATAGATTGAGTTTAGCAGAAATTAATTTTGTATCGTATTATTTAAACTGCAGAAATGTCCATTAACTGAACCCCAAAGTTTTAGTTTAAATAATTTAGAAAAAAACAACAAAAAAAAAACAGATAGCCTCCACTCAATAATAATCATCACATTTGAATAAATTTCCACATCCTAGAAAGTCACCTGTATTTCAAGTAGCTTGATAAATCATGAAGGATTAACTAGATGAAGAAGTGAAAATACAGAAGGGGTCAAAGCATACGGACTATAAAATGAGAACAGATGCTGATCGTGTTTGAGCTCAGCGAGTCTCTCAGGATGACGGAGCACAAGTCAATCAGTGGTTTAAGGTCAGATTGTTTTTGCATCAGAGTAATGGAGACCAGCACTTCATGAAAACGTTTGTGTCAGTATAAACCAAAATAACAAGAGGCGAACATGGAAAGCTAAAAGCCTCTAACATATTATCTGTGTGCATCATAAACCCTATTTCTGTAGGAGCAGGTTGAATGTTCATGAAATGAAGGTCTGAACAGGACAGATAGTGAGTTCTTACAAATAAAGTGCTTATATTTATTTTTAACTGCGTCCAGCAGACTGGTTACTCTGCTTCACACATAATCCCTGAAAATTGCAGTTACCACAGCAGAAATATTTTATTTGTACCCAGAAATATTTGACTATGATCTACAAGCTTTAAAATCACAGAACCATTCCAAGCCGCTCATTAAAAGCAAATCTAGGAACACAGTCAGTCTGTACATCTTGTATCCCGTGAGTACATTTTTCCTCCTGCATCATCTCAAAGAAGCACCTGTGGAAGCGAATAATAAAGTCTCAGTATGAGCCCGCGGTTTGCCCTCCTTGCTAGACTTCTGGACTGTCTTGCCAACCTGGGAGAGGTGTGTGTGATGTGGGCACAGGGTTGTGCCAAGTTAAATGCACATTAGCTTGCTCCTCCAGGCCTCCGCCTGATTCCCAGGTATGTAAATAGGCCTGGGCTGGCCCCATGAAACAGCAGGGATGCTGTGACCAAAAAGAAAACCCCTTTCTACTAAACGTCACAATGAAGTTAGCTAAGTCCAGTTTAATTTCCAAGTAAAATAAACATTATAAATGTGAATCATACCGTATGAAGTTAGGTTAAGAGAGATAACAAACATAAGTTAAAGTAAAATAATACCAAAAAAAATTATAGTGCTAAATAACAAACTTCACTTTAATGCATTCCATGTTATGTTCCTAAAGACAAATACATAAATGTTTTAGTTAAAATGTTTTTATGTCACTTTATAATACATACAAAATGTGTTTCCAGCAAAGATGGTATGTTATAAGCAGTCTGTGTGGA